AAGCAGTGGTATCAACGCAGAGTACTTTCGCGGCCGGCCATGAACTTGCCGTCCTGGTCGTAGCCGGTTTCCAGCCCCAGCCGCTTGGCCAGCGGCCGTGGGTCGGCCTGGTCAAGCACCGCCATGATGCTGGCGCCGGCCACCGCCACCCGCTCGGTGGCCACGCCGAAGACGGTGATCGGCTGGGCCAGCCGGTACTCGCTCATGAACTGGTTGCCCTGCGGCAACGGCTGCAGGCCCAGGGCCACGGCCTTCAGCGGGTCGGCCAGCAGCGGCGCCAGCGCACCGAGATCGGCCACGCGCTGCCGGCACTCGATCAGCGCCGGCAGGTCCAGGCTGGAGGCGAAGGCAGGCGGAGCGGCAAGGGCACCCAGCAGGATCAGGCAGCAGCGCAGTGACACGGGCGGTATCCGCAGGCGGTGGGGCGCCATCATAGCCCCGAGGAACGGGTGAACGGCCGGGTGATACGGCGGGCGACTCCGATCATCACTGCACGCAGCAACATCAGCGGCAGGGTGATCAGCACCGACAGCATCGCGAGGTGGAGCAGCCCCGCGATGGCCCAGGCCACGGTCGGCACCAGCCCAGCGTCCATCAGCCAGGGCATCGGGTTCGGCCCGGCATTCCGGATCAGCATCATGTAGACCGCGGCGAGTACGTACAGCACCAGCAGCGAGGTGCGCGAGGCATGGAAGAACGGCAGCCCATTGGCGGGCCGGCCCAGGCGCCGTTGCAGCATCATCCGCCACAGCACCGGCAGCGCCAGCGCACCCGCCAGCATCAGCAGCATCGAGATCGTCAGCAGGCCGGGGCCGTGTGCGGGCTGCGCCCGGTCGTTGAGGTACGGCCCGATCATGCCGATCGCCAGCCCTGCCACCAGGCAGAGGGGCGACAGCAGCGCCAGGCCGCGCAGCAGCCAGTGCTGCCCGGTGGGATCGGTGGCAGCGATGCGCCGGACGGTGCGCACGCCCAGCACCAGCAGGGCGGCGAAGAGGCCGCCCACGATCAGTAGCGTGATGAAGCTGCCTTGCTGGATCATCCTTGTTCCTCGTGTTTTCGTTGTGGACCCGGGGGATGGCCGCCCGGCCTGCTCAGCGCTCGCCGGCGTACGGATCGGCGATGCCGAGCTCGGCCAGGATCTCGCGCTCCAGCTGTTCCATCGCCTCGGCTTCCTTGTCGTCCTCGTGGTCCCAGCCGAGCAGGTGCAGCACGCCGTGCACGGTCAGGTGCGCGTAGTGGGCATTGAGCGCCTTGCCCTGTTCATCGGCTTCGCGGGCCACTACCGGCGCGCAGATCACCAGGTCGCCGAGCAACGGGAACTTGACGCCCTTGGGCAGGCCTTCGGGCATTTCGGCCGGGAAGCTGAGCACGTTGGTGGCGTAGTCCTTGCCGCGGTAGTGGCGGTTCAGTGATTGCCCCTCCTTGGCGTCGACCACGCGGATGGCCAGGTCGGCCTCGCGGATGCGACCCTTCAGTGCGGCGGCCACCCACTTGCGGAAGCTGACCGCCGCCGGCAGGCCGGTGCGCGGCAGGGCGTAACTGACGGCGACATCCAGTCGCACGGGACCACGGGTCATGGAGTTGCTCCAGGCTGGATCTGATGCAGGTCGCGGCGGTCGTAGGCGCTGACGATGCGCGCGACCAGCGGGTGGCGGACCACGTCGCGGGATTCGAAGAAGGTGAAGCTGACGCCCTCGACCCCCCGCAGCACATCGATGGCGTCACGCAGGCCAGAGCGCACGTGCTTGGGCAGGTCGGTCTGGGTCAGGTCGCCGGTCACCACCGCGGTGGAACCGAAGCCGAGACGGGTCAGGAACATCTTCATCTGCTCGATGGTGGTGTTCTGTGCTTCGTCCAGGATCACGAACGCATCGTTGAGCGTGCGGCCGCGCATGTAGGCCAGCGGCGCGATCTCGATGACGTTCTTCTCCAGCAGCTTGACCACCTTCTCCACGCCCATCATTTCATACAGGGCGTCGTACAGCGGTCGCAGGTAGGGATCGACCTTCTGGCTCAGGTCGCCGGGCAGGAAGCCCAGCTTCTCGCCGGCCTCCACCGCCGGGCGCACCAGGATCAGCCGCTGCACGCGCGATTCATTCAGCGCTTCGACCGCGCTGGCCACGGCCAGGAAGGTCTTGCCGGTACCGGCCGGGCCGATGCCGAAGTTGATGTCGTGGGTGGCGATCTGGTGCAGGTAGCGGCCCTGGTTCGCACCGCGTCCGCGCACCGTGCCGCGCTTGACCTTGATTGCCACGTCCTGCGCTTCGTAGGAGCGCTCGGCGATCTGCTCGACGTTGGCCTGGGCCAGGCGCAGATGGATGGCATGGTTGTCGAAGGTGGTCTCGCCGGCCTCGGCGTACAGCGCCTCGACCAGCTTCTGTGCTTCGACGATGGCCTCTTCCGGTCCGCTGATGCGGAACACGAAGCCGCGGTTGGCGATCTCCACGCCGAGCTTCAGCTCGATCTGTCGCAGATGCCCGTCAAACGGACCGCATAGGTTGGCCAGCCGCTCGTTGTCTTCCGGCGACAGGGTGAAGTCTCGATGCTCGATGCTTTTCATTGATCGGGTAGGGCGGAAGCCTTGCACCACAGTGGATTCAGGCGGCAAGGGTAGCGCGCGGCAGGGTCACACGGCCAGCGCCGGGCGTTTTCCACATGGCGTGTGGACCGGGCTGGAAGAAAGCTGTGGATAGACACCTTCGTCCCTTGTGCCACAGGCTCCATGAGCCGATGGTGAAAAAAACGTCATGACCGGCGGAGGGGGGAGTGCCGGAAACTTGACGGCGGCCGGGCCGCGGATGACTATCAGCCCGGAGCCCCAAGGGAACAGGGTCTTCCGCGAGGATCGGCGCAGCGCGCTGCCCGGCCCGTAGCAACGCGGAAGTGGCAGGTAGGCCATCGCCAGGGCAGGAGCGCCTGGCACAGGAAATGACATGGATGCTTCACTCGCGCATGCCGCGCTTGCTTCGCTGGTCGGGCTGGAGCCGGACCATCAACTGCACCGCCTGCGGGCCGATGGCCTGCCCCCTTTGTTCGTCGAACAATGGTGGGGCCATGAATGCCTGGCTGGTGGATTCGATTACTGGGTGGATGTGCTGCATCCGGACGCGGGCCTCGCGTTCGGTGAATGGCCGGGTCGCGAGGCGGCGCTGGTCACCCGCCTGGACGATGGCCAGAACCATCTGCGCTGCGGGTATGTTGCCTCTGCCCATCGGCTGGAGAGCGAGGGCGGCCTGGCGCGCTATCGCCTGCACTGTGTCCCATGGACCTGGATGCTGGGGCATGCACGGCACAGCCGCGTGTACCAGGAGCGCACCGTGCGCGACATCGTCGAGGACGTGCTGGGCGGGCATGGCGAGTTGGCCTGCTGGCGTTGGAGCGAGGACGCCGTAGCCGCTCTGGCCGAGGCGCCTGCGCGCAGCTACTGCGTGCAGTATCGCGAGCCGGACCTGGCCTTCGTGCAGCGCCTGCTGGCCGAAGAGGGAATTGCCGGCGCATTCGAGAGCGACAGCGGCGGGCGGCTGACAGTGGTATCAACGCAGAGTACTGAGAACCCTCAGTCCGCCCGCGATGGCGGCATCCGCTTCCATCGCAATGACGGTACCGAAGTGGCGGACACGCTGCAGCAGCTGGGCGCACGTCGCCTGCTGGGCAGCAACCGGTTGTCGCTGGTCACCAGCGATTACCGGGGGCCGGTGCTCCGCCATGTCCAGTTGCCGTTGCAGGCGGGCGGCCAGAGTCCGCGCGAGATCTACGACCCGGTGGGCGCGCATGCCTTCGCCCAGGCGGCCGATGGGCAGCGCCGGGCACGCCGGGTGGCCGAAGCGCACGAGGCGGGCCTGGCCGGTTGGCTGGGCACCGGCAGCGTTCGAAGCCTGCAGGCGGGCCGCTTCATCCGCGTGCTGGCGGCAGGAACCGCCGCCGCCCCGACCCTCCTTCCAACTGAAGTACTGCACCACGGGTGCAACCCGCCGCCGATCACGCAGGGGCGCGGGCAGCGGCGGGCCGAGCCACCTGCGCCCTGGCTCGCGGCCAGCGCAGGGCTGCCGGGAGCCCCGCTCGAGGCGTCCTCGGCGTTGGGCTACGCCAACCGGTTCCGGGCCGTCGACCAGCGGCAGCCATGGCGCCCGGTACTGCAGGACGGGACCGGGGAGCGCATCAACCCGCGGCCGCTTGCACCGGGCTACCAGACCGCCCGGGTCATCGCCGGCGATGGCCGGAGTGACGCCGATCTGCATGCCGACAGCCAGGGCCGGGTCCGGGTGCGCCTGCATCTGCAGGGGGCCACCGACGCCGAGGCAACGTGCTGGATGCGGGTGGCGCAGCGCTACGCCGGGCCAGGCGTGGGTTCGCAGTTCCTGCCGCGTGTAGGCCAGGAGGTGCTGGTCGGCTTCCTTGAGGGCGACATCGACCGGCCGCTGGTGCTGGGTGCGCTGTACAACGGCCGTGGTGATGCCGGCGCTGCTCCCACGCCTGCCGGTGCGGCCGCAGCCGGTAGCGACGCAGGCCTGTTCGGCCAGGCCGCCGACAGGCGTCCGAGTGCGCAGGGCAATGCGGCCGGCGGCCACGCCCCTGCCTGGCATGCGATGGCGCCCGGTGAAGGCCAGCACCGGCATGCCGGTGCCTTGTGGGGCATCCAGTCACGGGAGTGGTCCGGTACCGGCTACAACCGCCTGGTATTCGACGACTCCGATGCGCAGCTGCGCCTGCAGCTGGCCAGCAGCCATGCCATCAGCGAACTGAATCTTGGCCACCTGCGGCACCAGGCCGACAACCATCGCGGGTCCCTGCGCGGCGAGGGCGCGGAACTGCGTACCGATGCCTGGGGTGCACTGCGCGCCGAGCGTGGCGCATGGCTGATCGCGCACCCCCGCGCGCCCGCTTCGCCGGCCGGTGAGGCCGTTGCCGCCAGTGCGCTGCTGCAGCAGGCGTCAACCCTGGCCGGGTCCTGGCACGCGATGGCGACCACCCACCGGGCGGTCGGCATGGCCAGCCACGCTCCGCCGGACGACAGCGCGGGCCTGGCGGGCCTGCAGCGGGTCGCGCGCGCCAGCGTGCCCGGGCAGGACTACGCACAGGCCCGCGCAGGTGGTGAGGGTCGGCCCACCGGCGGCGCCGTGCCGCATACCGAAGAGCCCATGCTCGGGCTGCACGGCCATGCCGGCCTGGCCATGGTGGCCGGGCAGGCGCTGCAGTGGAGCAGTGCCCGGCATGTGGTGCTGGCCAGTGGCCAGCACAGCGATGCCAGCGTGGCCGGTAGCGCGCGCCTGCACGCGATGCAGGCCGTGGGCGTGCTCGCGGCCAGTGGCCGGACCTTTGCCGGCGAGGCTGCATTGAGCGTCGTAGCAGGGCAGGCGGCGCTGGACGTCCGCGCCCAGTCCGCGCAGATCAACGTGCAATCGCGTGCCTCTCTGCGTGCCGCCAGCGCCCAGGCGGCCGTGGAACTGGCCGCGCCGCGCACGCTGCATATCGCCACCGCCGGTGGCGCCAGCCTCACCCTGGAGGGCGGCAACCTGGTGGTGAACTGTCCCGGCACCATCACCGTGCATGCCGGGCAGAAGTCCTTCGTCGGGCCTGCGCAGCTCAGCTATGCGCTCCCGGACATGCCAACCAGCACCCTCAGCGAGCAGATTCCGAAGCTGGCCTTCCGCCTGCAGGACATTCCGGGGCCGCAGGGGCATCCGCTGGCAGGCCAGCCCTGGAAGATCGTGCGTACCCGCCGGGCGCTGGACGAGGACATGCGAGATGGCGCGCTGGTGCCGGCCAACTGGGCCGAGACCGTTGCCGAAGGGCAGGCCGACGAGCAGGGCGACGTCAGCCTTGACGACGCCCTGTGCGCGAAGATCTGGAACGATGCCGGCCGGTTCCCGGGGCGGCTGTTCCTGGTGCATGGCATCGACGTGATTCCCCTGCAGCGTCCGCGCCCCTACAGCAGCTCGCCAGGCGTGCGCGCCACCATGGACACGCTTGAAGCGATCAACTACGGCAAAACCCTGGCAGACCTTCCCGATGATGCGGCGCTGTATGCCTACCGGCAGCGTGCCGAGTACGAGTTCCAGTCGCATATCGACGCCGACCCGGCCCAGCGCAAGGAGATCCAGTGATGGCAGACGGCACCAAGCTGGGCAGCGTCCCGCATACCGCATTGACCTGCCTGGACGGGCAGAAGGGCACCAGCAGCGGTGACTACTACGCGCCACCGGACCGCCAGTTCGCGCCGGTGCGGCGCGGCAACAAGGTCGACGCCTACACCGATGGCCGCTCAGCGATGAAGGCGATGGCCGATGCCATCCGCGGCGCGCAGAAGTTCATATTCATCGCCGACTGGCAGATGAACTTCGACACCGAGCTGGACAGCCGCGGCGGTGCCCACGCCAGCCGACTGAGTGAACTGCTGTTCGATGCCATCAACCAGCGCGGCGTGGACGCGCGGGTGCTGCTCTACGACAGTGTCGAGGCGGCGGCCTACACCCACGAGAACGAGGCGCGTACGGCCCTGTACAAGATGCAGGATGCCAATACGCCGGGGCAGGTGCAGGTCGGCCTGCACAACCCGGCCACCGGCCGCACCGATGCCTTCAACATCGCCTTTTCGCACCACCAGAAGATCCTGGTGGTGGACGGGAAGATCGGCTTCGTCGGCGGCCTGGACATCGCCCACGGGCGCTGGGACGACGGCAACTTCGACGTGGTCTGCGACCCGACGCTGCATGTGCTCAATGACCACTACAACAACTGCCTGAGCAAGTTTCGGGGCATGACGAGGGCTGAGCAGGACCTGACCCTGGACAAGCCCGATACCAGCCCGGACGCGGTCGGCCGTGTCCGCCCCGGCTTTGCCCAGGCATACGTGCCGGGCCTGGCCATCGCGCTGGACCGGATGAAGGCGCAGTGGGATGCCGGCGCCGCACTGGCCGAACTGCAGGATTATGCGGACAAGCTGGGCGTGCCGGACGCGCTGGAGCGCGAAGGCATCCGCAAGCTTGCCGAGATGGTCATTCCGGGCATGGAAGAAGCCGTGAAGGTACAGCGTTCGGTCGCCAAGACCTTCCTGGCCATTCAAGGGTGGTTGACCGAGATCGAAAAGGAATACGCCGACGTCATCGCCGCTTCCAACCGGGCCGCCGACGAGGCGGTCAAGCTGAACGTCGGCGAGGCTGCCGCCGCCGCAGGGCGTGCAGTGGAAGGCTTCACGAAGATCCAGGCGAAGAAGTTCGGCGAGTGGGTCGATGAGCGCAAGGTCGCGATCAAGGACGCCATTCTGGGCCCGATCAAGACGGCCACCACGGTCGTGGGATACGTACGTGATCCTGACTCGCTGGTCACGGACGCCAAGGCCAAATATGCCGAGATCGAGAACAAGTTCAACAAGGCCAAACAGGCGTGGGAATCGCTGGTGAAGTGGATCAACGAGCCGGTGGATCGCATCCAGCGCCTGCTCGACAGCGGCCGCCAGCCGCGCATGCCGTGGCAGGACGTGCACGCGCGCCTGCAGGGACCGGCGGTGTTCGACATCTGCCGCAACTTCATGCACCGCTGGAACGCCATGGTCTGGCAGAACCAGCGCGGCGACCGTGAAATCGGCACGGCGGTGCGCAAGGTCCTGAACCGGGGCATCCGCGGTGCCAACGACTGGACAGGCGCCGGCCTGCCGGAGCAGACCACGCTGGCACGTGGCATGGAACTGACGCCGTTGAGCGATCAATGGCTGCAGGCGATGGGCGGCATGCAGGCGTTGTTCGGTGACCTGGCCCGGCCGGGCACGGCCGGCGACGTCACCGTACAGATCGTGCGTTCCTCGGGTACGGCATTGCATGCGCTGGAGAAGAAGGGCTGCAAGGAACTCGGCCTGAATCTGGACGATGCCAGTTGCCTGCAGCCGTACTGGGAGCGCAACCAGCCGATGCACTCCATCCTTGACGCGATGGTCAACTGCATCGCCTCCGCGCGCGCCTTTGTCTACCTCGAGACCCAGTTCCTGATTTCCGAATGCGGTTGGTCCGACGCTGAAGCCGGCACGACAGTGGAGACGGCAATCAAGGGCGGCGAGCGGCGGCCCATGACCAAAGCCGAAAAAAAGAAGGCCGGCTACGTCGACAAGGGCGTGGCCATGAGTGGGCCCATCGGGAAAACCGGCGTTGTGCAGGACCTGGTGAAGCGCAAGCAGGGCGTGAAGTCGGCGGCCAGCAACCCGCTGGTGGCGGCCATCGCCGCGCGCATCCGTCGCGCCATCGTGGCCGGACAGGGCTTCCATGTGTACATCACCTTGCCCGTGCATCCGGAAGGCAGCCTGTTCGACGGTGCCGTGCTGAAGCAGCAGTACTGGGTGCAGCAGACCCTGTTGCGTGGCGACGACAGCCTGATCCGCCGCATCTGCCGTTCGCTGATCGCGCGCGACAAGGACATCCGCGAGGCGAGCGTGGAAGAGGCCGACCTGCAGGCAGAGGTGAAGGCCGGGCGCTGGAAGGAATACCTGTCGGTAATGAACCTGAGAAGTTATGGGGTCCTGGCCGACATCAACCACAAGAACCACTACGCACCGCATACGATCGGCGCCGACCAGGCCACCCCCCTGTACGTGGTGACCGAGCAGTGTTACGTACACTCCAAGCTGCTGATCGTGGACGACGCTGTGGCCATCATTGGAAGTGCGAACTGCAACGACCGCAGCCTGCTGGGCACGGGTGACACCGAGATCGCCGCAGTGATCGTGGACGGTGCGGCCAAGTCGATGGACCTGGGCAATGGCGTGCAGGTGATAACCCGGAAGTTTGCGCGGGATCTGCGGATGAAACTTTGGAGGAAGTTCCTGGGGGAGGAAATCGCAGTCAATGACGGAAAGGAGCGAGGGTATGCTGAGTCGAATGCCACCAGCCCCTACTATCCGCCATTTCAAAAGCGACCCAGGAGTGCTTTCGTAGAGCTTCCAGTCGCGTCATCCACCTGGCGGGAAATTGGAAAGATAGCTGACCTTAACTTGGCCACTTATCATCGAGTGTTTTCCAACATTCCTGGTGATTCCATGGCGCGCTATGATTCAGTATTCCAGTGTTTTCCCGCTGCTGGGTTCAATGAAAAAGGGCATCAATTGCGAATGTTGCACGCCCAGCCGCCGGATCTGCAGCCGGAATTCATGATCGAGCCAAGTCAATTGGCGGACGGGGCAACCGTCAGCGTCGGACGTCACGATGTTGCGAAAGCGATGAGTTTTATGAAGGATCAGAAGAATCTTCATGGATTCTGGGTTTCCATGCCGCTCTTGTGGGGGCATGGTATGGATGATCCTGCCGCGGCAATGCCGAATCAGATAATTGCAGCTGCACCAGCGTTGGGGTCGAGTGAAGTGCTCTTGGCGCTCAATGATAAAAAGTCGTCATCGGTAAGCGGGGCACATTCATGAAATTTGGTTGGATCACGATGCTGTTTTGCTTTCCGATTGTGGCCGGGGCGAGCGGCGCGGGCATTGAGCCATGGGGGGAGGTGCCAAAGAATGTACAAGTTCGGTTCTCTCCCGATTCGCGCGGTGTTGTCAGGGTCTCCGGAGACAGGCCGACAATTCTTGCTCCCAACGTGGCTATTAGGTTGACCTCCCCTGATGAAATCGAGAACAAGCCGTTTGATCGAGATGGAGGAGCTGTTGTGTATCTTGAGCCTAATGGCGGAAGTGGACTTCGTGTAGTCCGCGAAGAGAAATGGGTTCGAAGAGAGGCCGTTTTTCGAAAGGTGCCCGCTGATATTCCGGAGGCAGTTGGAAGGGTCTATCCATACTTCAAGGTTGAAAGCTCAAGGCGTTTCATCTACGACGATCAAGGGCGGATAGAGTCGGTGATTCTTGATGATTCAGGTGGCAGATCCCAAGTCCAGTTCTGTGCGCTTTATGACGCCGCAGGAAGGGTCGCGGTTGCCACTTCGACAGATAACAATCCGGTGTCGTTTGATCACGACTTTAACTGTGAGACTCTGCGGGGCACTCCTTCGCTGAGTATGACGGAATATTTCCAATACGGAAATGACGGGGCGTTGAAGAGGAAACTTTCAAAATCGCTGGTGCAGCCTGGACAGTCGCAGGAGTCCGGCGCCGGGGCGGAGGATCGGGCCGTTGAAGACGGATCCTGGCGAGGGTACGGGGAGCTGTACTACGTTAATGGTTCGAATGGCGTGGGGTATGATTCGTTGGTTTTCGGGATGAGTGATGCGCGCGGGATTGAGTATTTTGAGACCACGAATTTCAGTGTCGCCTCGTCCGACGTGACGCCTGTATTCGCGCATCGCAGCCAGGAGGCATCGCATAAGTTGCGCTATACCTTCACTGGTGAGCGTGTGCCACCCGATCTCGCTAAGGGTCTCCTTGAGGGGGTTGTAGGGTATGCTCGTGTCCGCCAGTATTACCACAGCACCGGTCAGCGTGTTTTCGAAGTTTTCGCTCCTGGCGCAAAGTACCCCCGTGAACGTCAGTGGCGCACGCTGGATCTGAATCGTCAGGAAAACTACGACGCAAAGGGCAAGCTCACGCGCGTGATCCTGTCCGGCCCTGTCTCTGGTGACGCCTACACCGAGAACCTGCGCGCCTACGCAGACAAGGGCGTATTGAAGCTCACGCCCCTCACCAGCGGTTACAGCTCTTACCGCGTGTACGACTATGACGCTGCCGGTAGAGAGACTCTGTCGTTCGTGTGCTGGCGCTACGAAGTCTCGACCAACAAGCCTTACGCCCATTTCCCCTGGTGGGAGCCCGATCCTCGGCCCAAGCGCAGTCGTGAAGCCGAACTGCAGTACGGCAGGACGCAGGTCGGTACACGCTGCGGCACGCCGGACGGCAAGATGAGCGTGGAGGGAATGGGCCCGGTGAAGAAGCTGATGGAAACCAAGTACGGGTTTGGGACGACCAAGCTGGGATTGCCGGGCGAGTAGGGCGAGACTTCTTTCCCGAACTTGTGACAGGCGTCGGCCTGCCGGAGTAGACCACGCTGGCGCGTGGCACGGAACTGACGCCGTTGAGCGATCCGCTGGTGGCGGCCATCGCCGCGCGCATCCGTCGCGCCATCGTGGCCGGACAGGGCTTCCATGTGTACATCACCTTGCCCGTGCATCCGGAAGGCAGCCTGTTCGACGGTGCCGTGCTGAAGCAGCAGTACTGGGTGCAGCAGACCCTGTTGCGTGGCGACGACAGCCTGATCCGCCGCATCTGCCGTTCACTGATCGCGCGCGACAAGGACATCCGCGAGGCGAGCGTGGAAGAGGCCGACCTGCAGGCAGAGGTGAAGGCCGGGCGCTGGAAGGAATATCTGTCGGTAATGAACCTGAGAAGTTATGGGGTCCTGGCCGACATCAACCACAAGAACCACTACACACCGCATACGATCGGCGCGGATCAGGCCACCCCCTTGTACGTGGTGACCGAGCAGTGTTACGTACACTCCAAGCTGCTGATCGTGGACGACGCTGTGGCCATCATTGGAAGTGCGAACTGCAACGACCGCAGCCTGCTGGGCACGGGTGACACCGAGATAGCCGCAGTGATCGTGGATGGTGCGGCCAAGTCGATGGACCTGGGCAATGGCGTGCAGGTGATAACCCGGAAGTTTGCGCGGGATCTGCGGATGAAACTTTGGAGGAAGTTCCTGGGGCAGGCGCTTGAGACGAAGCCTGAGAAGGGGGGGCAATTCGTCTTTTCTAATGCAACCGAGTACTCTGCGTTGATACCACTGCTTTCCAACCCTGGAGGTCGACAAACCGGCAAGTGCCAGAACTTGGATGGGAATCAGGCAGCTTGCGGATGCCAATTCCGAAGCTTATCAGCGTGTTTTCACGAATGTCCCGCGCGACTCTTTCCCTCGCTACGACTCTGTGTTTCATGGATTTCCGGCGGCAGGTCTTAGTGACAAAGGGCACGTCAGGCGCATGCTCTACGCGCAGCCGGCAGATCTGCAGTCAGATTTCATGAAGGAGCCAAGTGTTGTGAACGACTACGTGACCGATGCAGTGGGGCGGCATGATGTGCGTAAGGCGACGGATTTTCTCAGAGGTACCGCAACGCGCCGCGGGATTCAGGGTTTCTGGGTGACCATGCCACTCCTCTGGGGGAGTGACATGGACGATCCGGCTGCCGCGATGCCGAGCGAGATCATTGCAGCCCTGCCTGTTCAGGGGGATAGGTCAAGTGAATTGGCATACTCGACTCGACATGCTGCCTTGAGTCAAGGAGAAAAGGTGTGAGTGAGTATTTGCTGCTGAAAGCACTGATTGCGGTGAGTGCTCTGTGCGCCGTGCAAGCCGCGCATGCAGGTTGCAGTTCAAAAAATGAAGGGGATGGCCGCTTTCAGGGACACAGCATGGTGGTCAAGTTTACGCCAAGCTTGGATGGTGGAGGAGATGCAGTAGGCGCCAGCCTCAGTCGCGCGAACGAGGTGGCACCTTACATAAGAATCAGGACCGGTCCTGATCTGGCTAAGTTGAACAACGTTCCATTCGACTCGAATGGTGGTTCGGTCTACTATCTGGAAACTACTGGCCAAGGGCAGCGGATCTGCCGTGCTGAGGAATGGAGAAGGCGGGAGTCCAAGCTGATTGGTGAAGCGCCTCCCCGAAGCCTGCATCCTGCAGTCAAGTTGCTGTATCCGTACTTTGAACTGCATAAGGCGCACGAGCTTGATTACGATACGTCGGGTCAATTGACATCGATTCAACAGACCGGCACGTCGGGCCGTAAGGTCACAACGTTCTGTGCGCTCTATGACGAAAATGGTCGCGTAGAGGTGGCAAATGAGATTTCAGGTGTCAGCGTATCGGATGATGCAGACTTTACATGCCCCCAGCTTCGCGTGAAGGCGTCCAAAAGTAATGCTTGGTACTTCACCTATCGGCCGGACGGGTCGCTGGCCTCTGATTTGACCAAGAAAGCCACGCGTAAGGCAGGTGAGGATCCCTATCGCGAGGACATCGGTATTGGAACAGAGGCGACCGATGGCGCGTGGTACGCGAGCGGAAGTATTTATATCGGAGATGCCAATCAGCGCACGCGGATCGGTAGCATGTTTCATGGTAGCGAGAAAGGAGGAATTAGTGGAATTGAAGACTACTCATTCGTTATCGCTCCCGCCGATGCGACAGCTCTTTTCGCTGAGCGCAGTCAGGACGGTCAACAGAAGTTGGTCTACAGATTCCCCGGCGAGCGCGTGCCAATGGAAGTTGCAACGGGGCTGTTTGAGGGCATAACCGATTACACCCGCGTGCGCGAGTACCGCCACCGGTCCCACAGCCGGATTTTCGAAATTTTCTCCCCAGGTGCCAAGCACCCTCGCGAACGCCAGTGGCGCACGCTGGATCTGAATCGTCAGGAAAACTACGACGCAAAGGGCAAGCTCACGCGCGTGATCCTGTCCGGCCCTGTCTCTGGTGACGCCTACACCGAGAACCTGCGCGCCTACGCAGACAAGGGCGTATTGAAGCTCACGCCCCTCACCAGCGGTTACAGCTCTTACCGCGTGTACGACTATGACGCTGCCGGTAGAGAGACCCTGTCGTTCGTGTGCTGGCGCTACGAAGTCTCGACCAACAAGCCCTACGCCCATTTCCCCTGGTGGGAGCCCGATCCTCGGCCCAAGCGCAGTCGTGAAGCCGAACTGCAGTACGGCAGGACGCAGGTCGGTACACGCTGCGGCACGCCCGACGGCAAGATGAGCGTGGAGGGAATGGGCCCGGTGAAGAAGCTGATGGAAACCAAGTATGGCTTTGGTACCACGAAGCTTGGGTTCCCAGGCGAAGAGAAGGATTGACCGCTCCTGTCGCCATGCGGTCCATCCTGCCGCCGGCGCACGTTCCATTGCTAGGCGAGCAATCCGCCCATCCCCCTGGCGCTTTTCCACACCGGCTGTGGAATGATGCCGAATCAACCTGTGGATAGGTGGACCAGCCCCTGACGGCACAAGGCCTTCCATGGTGTGGTGAAAAAACCGCCGGGGCGGATCGGCATCATCGCGGGTGCACGGGGCAGATGGCACCGTAGTGCCGTCGCTGGAGGGGATGGGCATGGGCAACGGCATGCGTGGGTTCGGACTGGTGGGCCTGGCCCTGCTGGCAGGCTGTGGCCAGGCGCCACCGACTGCGCTGGGAACGCTGGAATGGGACCGGGTCACCGTGCCGGCACCGGCGGCCGAAGTGATTGCAGCGGTGGAGGTGCGCGAAGGCCAGCAGGTCAAGGCCGGCACCGTGCTGATGCAGCTGGACCCGGCCCGCGGTGACGCCCAGTTCGCCGCCGCACAGGCCGACACCGCGCGCGCGCAGGCGCAGCTGGAAGAACTGAAGATCGGCCCACGGCAGGAGCAGATCGCGCAGGCCCAGGCACAGCTGGCCGCGCTACGCGCGGAGTCGGTGGAAGCCAGTGCCTACTACCGGCGCGTGCAGCCCCTGGCACGCCAGCGCCTGATCGCCGCCGCCGAGCTGGACCGCGCACGGGCCGCCGCCGGCAACGCTGAAGCCAGCGTGCTTGCCGCCGAGCAGGCCTGGCTGGAGCTGGTGCACGGCAGCCGCGCGCAGGATATCGCGCAGGGCCAGGCGGCGGCGGACGCTGCGCAGGCGCAGCAGGTGGTGCAGGGCGTCAACCTGCAGAAGCTGCAGCTGCGCGCCCCCCGCGATGGCGTGGTCGACGCCTTGCCCTATCGGCAGGGCGACCAGGCGCCGATCGGCGCACCACTGGCGGTGATGCTGGTCGGCGAGGGCCCCTATGCGCGCGTCTACCTGCCACAGCCACTACGGTTGCAGGTCAAGGTCGGGCAGGCCGCGCAGGTGCATCTGGAAGGGCAAGCCGCTGCGTTGAAAGGGCATGTGCGCTCGATCCGCAGCGAGCCTTCATTTACGCCGTACTACGCGTTGACCGGCGACGACGTGGCGCGGCTGAGCTACCTGGCCGAGATCGAAGTGGACGAGGCGACCGACATGCAGAAACTGCCGGCCGGGTTGCCGGTGCGGGTGAGCTTCTGAACACCGGCGACGACATTGCAGTGCATGCGCAGGGCCTGACCCGGCGCTTCGGCGATCTGCTGGCCGTGGACAATGTCGACCTGACCGTGCCTCGCGGCCAGGTCTACGGCTTCCTCGGCCCGAACGGCTCGGGCAAGTCGACCACGATCCGCATGCTGTGCGGCCTGCTGGAGCCGAGCGCGGGGCAGATCGAGGTGCTGGGCCTGTCGGTGCCGGAACAGGCCGAGGCGCTGCGCCGCCGCATCGGCTACATGACCCAGCGCTTTTCGCTGTACGAAGACCTGTCGGTGCGCGAGAACCTGGAGTTCCTTGCCGCGATCCAGGACCTGCCGCGCGCGCAGGCCCGGCAGCGCGTCGATGCACTGTTGCAGCAGTATCGGCTGCAGGACCGGCAGCCGCAGTTGGCCGGCACGCTCAGCGGCGGGCAGAAGCAGCGCCTGGCCCTGGCCGGTGCCGTGGTGCACGCGCCCGAACTGCTGTTCCTGGACGAGCCGACCAGCGCGGTCGACCCGGAATCGCGCCGCGATTTCTGGGAGGCCTTGTTCGAACTGGCCGACGCCGGTACCACCGTGCTGGTGTCGACCCACTACATGGACGAGGCCGAGCGCTGCCACCGTCTGGCGATCCTGGATCGCGGCGCGCTGGTGGCTGATGGCACGCCGGCCGAACTCTGTGCGCGGTTGCAAGGGCGCACGCTGCAGGTCACTTCCTCGCAGCCGCGCCAGGCCAGCCGCGCGCTGGCCGAACTGCCCGGCGTGCTGAGCGTGGCGCAGATCGGCACGCAGCTGCGCGTGCTGTGCAGCGAAGACGCGGCCGACACGGCGGCACTGCAGCGCGCCTTGGCCGGTGCCGATCCACAGGCGCATATCGAGGCGGTGGCGCCGAACCTGGAAGACGTGTTCGTCGCCGCTACCCGAGGTCGTGGCAGGGAGCCGGCGGCATGAACCTGCGCCGGCTGTGGGCGATCATGCTCAAGGAGCTGCGCCAGCTGCGCCGCGACCGCATCACACTGGCGATGATCGTCGGCATTCCGGTGATGCAGCTGCTGCTGTTCGGCTATGCGATCAACCTCAACCTGCGCCATCTTGATGCGGGTGTGGCCGACCAGGCGAACAGCGCGGCCTCGCGCGCGCTGGTGCAGGACATGGTCGCCACCGGTGTGATCACCCCGCGCAGCGAAGCCTACAGCCCGGATCAGCTGATGCAGGCGCTGCGCCGCGGCGAGATCAGCGTCGGCATCGTGGTACCGGCCGATTTCGAGCGCCGTCGTTTCGATGGGCGCGAAGCGGTGCAGGTGCTGGTCGATGGCAGCGATACCGTGGTGCAGAGTGCGGCGATCCAGCTGGCGCAGGTGCCGCTCGACACGCGCCCGACCAGCAACACGCGGCCGCTGCGCGAAGGCAGCATTGCCAGCGGCCAGGTCAGCGTGACCAGCTTCTACAACCCGCAGCGAAGATCAGCGGTGAACATCGTGCCGGGGCTGATCGGGGTGATCCTGACCATGACCCTGGTGATGTTCACGGCGGTGGCGGTGGTGCGCGAACGCGAGCGCGGCAACATGGAGCTGCTGATCGCCACGCCGGTATCGCGCAGCGAACTGATGGTGGGCAAGGTGCTGCCCTATGCGGCCATCGGCCTGCTGCAGACCACGCTGGTGCTGGTGCTGGGCACCTGGCTGTTCCAGGTGCCGATCCGCGGCAGCCTGCTGGACATCTACCTGGCCGCGGTGCTGCTGGTGCTGGCCAACCTGGCGCTGGGCCTGTTGATCTCCACGCGCGCGCGCTCGCAGTTCCAGGCAATGCAGATGACGTTGTTCCTGTTCCTGCCGTCGATCCTGCTGTCCGGCTTCATGTTCCCGTTCGCCGGCATGCCACGGCCGGTGCAGTGGCTGGCCGAAGTGCTGCCGCTGACCCACTTCCTGCGCCTGGTGCGCGGCATCATGCTGCGCGGTGCGTCGCTGTGGGAGCTGTGGCACGACGCGCTGGCGCTGCTGGCCTTCATCGTGGTGATGATGACGCTGGCGATCCTGCGCTTCCGCAAGCGATTGGATTAGGGAATGCCGACCAACGGTCGGCATCTACCCTGGTGGGTGCCGACCGTTGGTCGGCACGCCTTACTCCGCCACCACCCGCGCGCGCAGCGAATTGGTCAGCGCCTCGGTGATCACCACGTCCACGAACTGGCCGATCAGGCGCGCCGGTGCCGGGAAGTTCACCGAACGCATGTTCTCGGTCTTGCCGGTCAACTCGTTCGGGTTCTTGCGCGACGGGCCTTCCACCAGCACGGTCTGCACGGTGCCGACCATCTTCTCGGAGATGCCGGCGGCGTGCGCATTGATGCGATCCTGCAGGCGCGACAGGCGCGCGTGCTTCTCCGCATCGCTGATCGTGTCCTCCAGGTCCGCGGCCGGCGTTCCCGGTCGGCGCGAATAGATGAAGGAGAAGCTGTGATCGAAGCCGATGTCCTCGATCAGCTTCATGGTCTTCTCGAAATCGGCATCGGTCTCGCCGGGGAAGCCGACGATGAAGTCCGAACTGATCGAGATGTCCGGGCGCACCGCGCGCAGCTTGCGGATCTTCGACTTGAATTCCAGCGCGGTGTAGCCGCGCTTCATCGCTGACAGCACGCGGTCACTGCCGGCCTGCACCGGCAGGTGCAGGAAGTTGGCCAGCTGCGGCACGTCGCGGAACGCGTCGATCAGCGAATCGCTGAACTCCAGCGGGTGCGAAGTGGTGAAGCGGATGCGGCCGACGCCGTCGATCTCGGCGATGGTGCGGATCAGCAGGCCGAGGTCGGCAAATTCGCCATCGCCATACGGGCCGCGATAGGCGTTGACGTTCTGCCCGAGCAGGTTGATCTCGCGCACGCCCTGCGCGGCCAGCTGGGCCACTTCCACCACCACGTCCTCGAACGGACGGCTGACTTCAGTGCCGCGGGTGTAGGGCACCACGCAGAACGAGCAGTACTTGGAACAACCTTCCATGATCGACACGAAGGCCGAGGCGCCCTCGGCGCGCGGCTCGGGCAGGCGGTCGAACTTCTCGATCTCGGGGAAGCTGATGTCCACCTGCGGGCGCTTCTGCTCGCGGCGGGCACGGATCAGTTCCGGCAGGCGGTGCAGGGTCTGCGGGCCGAACACCAGGTCCACGAACGGCGCGCGCTTGATGATCGCCTCGCCTTCCTGCGAGGCGACGCAGCCGCCCACGCCGATGATCACTTCACGGCCCTTGTTCTTCAGGCCCTTCCACACGCCCAACTGGCTGAACACCTTTTCCTGCGCCTTCTCGCGGATGGAACAGGTGTTGACCAGGATGACGTCGGCGTCATCGGGGCTGTCGGTCAGTTCCAGGCCATCGCTGGCGGCAAGCACGTCGGCCATCTTGGCCGAGTCGTACTCGTTCATCTGGCAACCGTGGGTCTTGATGTACAGCTTGCCTTTCACCTGGTCGGGCTTGCGCGGACCGGCGGGCAGGGCAACGAGCGGGGTACCGCCGGGGGCGGGCGGAAAGACGTCTGGCGTCCCGGTCATGGCGCTTAATCCATTCGGGTGGCGGGAAAGCGGGCAATTCTACCCGCATCCCGGCCCTCCCGCCGTCCGCCCGTGGCTGGTCGGCCCCGGCGGGGGCGCGGCGCGATTACGCCGCTGCCAGCTCCGCGTCGATCTGCCGCGAGCGGTCGAACGCCGTCATCGCGCTGATCCGTTCGATGTAGGCGGCCGTGGCCGGCGCCGGCTGCACCAGGCCGAAAGCACTGGTCCAGGCCAGCGCATTGCCCCACAGCACGTCGGCGGCGCTCATCGTCTCGCCCAGCAGGTACGGTCCCTGCGCCAGCTGGGCCTCGATCACCTGCAGCACGGTCTCGGCGTCGTTGTACGGCGACATCAGGCGCGGCGGCGGCTCGCGGTGCATCGCCTTGTCGATCATCGCCGGCTCGAAGCAGGCACCGTAGAAGGCCATCCAGCGCAGGTAGGGCCCGCGCAGGGCGTCACCGATCGGCGGTGCCAGCCCCGCTTCCGGGTACAGGTCGGCCAGGTACAGGTAGATCGCCACCTGTTCGGTCACCAGCGCACCGTTGTGGACGATGGCCGGTACCTTGCCCATCGGGTTGATGGCCAGGTAGGCCGGGGCCAGGTTGGCGCCGGCCTTCAGGTCCAGCACCTGCATGCGGTAGTCGGCACCCAGCGCTTCGAGCAGGGCCACGGCGCCGCTCGAGCGTGAACGGGCGGCGTGGTACAGGGTGATCTGGCGTGAGGTCATGGCATTGCTCCTTGCGGTGGGTGGTGAACTGGAGGCCATCCTGGGGCACTATTGCGGACGACTTCTGTCCTCGATCCTTCATGCGCCATACCGCCCATCGACTGCTGCGCCTGATCGCCCTGTTGCAGGCCCGCCGCCAGTGGTCGGGGGCCGAGCTGGCCGAACGCATGGGCGTGGACCGGCGCAGCATCCGCCGCGACATCGAGCGCCTGCGCGAACTGGGCTACCCGGTGCAGGCCTCGGCCGGAGTCGGCGGCGGCTACCAGCTGGGGGCCGGTGCGCCGGTACTGCCGATGCTGCTGGACGAAGAGGAAGCAACCACCCTGGCCATCGCCCTGCGCGCGGCCTCGGCCACTGTCGCCGGCATCGACGACACCGCACGCGGCCTGTTGTCCAAGCTGGATCCGCTGGTGCCAACCCGTCGTCGCCAGCAGGCCGGCGAGGTGCATGCCGCCACCGCCACGCTGTCGGACCTGCCCGCCACCGATGCACGCCTGCTCGGACGGCTGGCGCAGCACTGCCGGCAGGCGTCGCGATTGGCCTTCGAGTACCGCAGTGCGCAGGACGCGGTCACCCAGCGTGAGGTCGAAGCCCAGCATCTGGTCAACTATGGCCGCCGCTGGTACCTGCTGGCCTGGGATCTGGGCCGCCAGGACTGGCGCACCCTGCGCGTGGACCGGATGGGCGCGGTGCGCGAATGCACCGAGCCGGGCCTGCATCGGCGCACGCCGGCACCGCCGGATGTGATGGTGCGGCAGGCCGTCAGCCAGGCGCCGTTCGCGCTGCAGGCCATCCTGCGCCTGGCCGGCAGCCATTCCGAGCTGGAAGGCCGGATTCCGCCGTGGTGCGGGGTACTGGAGGCCGATGGCACCGACCATTGCCTGCTGCGGATGGGGGCCGAGAGCCGCGGCATGATGCTGGCGCAGATCCTCAGCCTGGACCGCGTGCCCGTGGCGCTGTGGACCACGCCCCCGGAGCTGCGCGACGAACTGGCGCAGCGCCTGGCGGGCCTGGGCCAGCTGCTGGCTGTGCCGTCGGTCACAGCCTGAGCCACGTCGCTTGGCAAGCCCCGGCGAAGCTGGGACACTCGCCGCCATGAAGGGGATACTGGGGACAACGGCGATCATCATCGCTGCGCTGACCGCTGCGCCGGCCAGCGCCGGAACCCTGTACAAGTGCCAGGGCGCCGACGGCGTCACCAGTTATGTGAGCAAGCGCGTGGCCGGCGCCGTCTGCAGCAGCATCAGCTACAGCCCCGATACCCGCCCGGCGCCGCGCCCTGTGGTGGCCGCGCCGAAACCCGCGCCAGCCACCACCGTGGCCAGCATCGAGCGCAATCCGGTTGCCGTCGCGGCCAGTGCTGCGACGCCTGCAGTGGCTGCACCCGCACCTGCACCTGCACCCGCTTCCGTGGCCACGGCCGCAACCGCCTCGCGCGGTGGGCGGATGGTCAGCGGCCAGGTCTATTCCTTCATGAAGGATGGCGTGCGCCACTACACCAGTGCGCGGCCGACCCAGGTGGCCAACCTGGGCCCGGTGCGGACCATCCGCTACAGCTTCATGGAGCGCTGCTACGCCTGCGGGGTCAATCCGCGCGTGGACTTCGGCACGGTGCGCCTGAACACCACGGCGTTCCAGAGCGAGATCACCTCGGCCGCGCGCGAGTTCGGTGTTGAGGAGGCCGTAGT